CTGTGGAGGGAGAGAGAGAAAAGAAAGCGGTTAAAATGGTGTTCAGACACAGTACAGATACATGCAAATAGGTCAAACACAAAAGGAAACGTGAGAGTAAAATTAGCATAGCCAAAAAGCTTCCTGAGCTGAGCTGTGATGAGGGGTACTTGAGGCCTGGAGCTGAAATAACAGGAGTACATGAAGAGATATTATATAGTTAACCTACTGGAGATCTATTTTAGGAATGTCAAGGAGGAGAGAGGGTGAGAGGGAGGAAGACAAATGAGGAGTGTGAGAGAAACCGACAGAGGTTGGGAGAGACAGATTCACCCCTTGGGGTACAGGCAATGGTTTTGATAGGGGTGGGGGTAATTACGGCCCAGTGCATCACTGGGGCCAAGCTTCCTGCCATCCAGGACCTCTATACCAGGCGGTGTCAGAGGAAGGCCCTCAAAATTGTCAAAGACTCCAGCCACCCTAGTCATAGACTGTTCTCTCTGCTACCGGCACGGCAAGCGGTACCGGAGTGCCAAGTCTAGGTCCAAAAGACTTCTCAACAGCTTCTACCCCCAAGCCATAAGACTCCTGAACAGCTAATCATGGCTACCCGGACTATTTGCACTGCCCCCCCCACCCCACCCCCACACCATCCTTTTACGCTGCTGCTACTCTGTTAATTATTTATGCATAGTCACTTTAACTCTACCCACATGTACATATTACTTCAACTACCTCAACTAGCCGGTGCCCCCGCACATTGACTCTGCACCGGTACCCCCCTGTATATAGCCTCCCTACTGTTATTTTATTTCTGCTCTTTTTTTTCTCAACACTTTTTTTGTTGTTGTTTTATTTTTATTTTTTAAAAATAAATGCACTGTTGGTTAAGGGCTGTAAGTAAGCATTTCACTGTAATGTCTGCACCTGTTGTATTCGGCGCATGTGGCCAATAAAATTTGATTTGATTTGAATTAGTGTCAAGGGAGGAGAGGAAGTGGGTAAGAGATTACAGTATGACTAGAACACACCATCACAATTTATTGTGAAATAGACAAATTACTTATTTTGAAAAATTGTGACAGGCACATGAAAGTCCACCTTTTCGTGTGTATTACACCATTTACATCACAACACATTTGGTGTGTATCACACGATTATCTTTCTTCACAACACATTTGTGTACATCACACAAATTCCAATATGTTGTGGCTAACGTTAGTTAGGCGGGTAACGTTAGCTAGGCTAGGGGTTAAGGTTTGTTAACATGCAAAGTAGTTGCAAAGTAACTCAAAAGTAGTAACCCACTGAGAACACACTGGTAGAATCAATGTTGTTTCCCTTTAACCAAAGTGGAATAAACGTTGAATTGAAGTCTGTGCAGTGGGATGTGGTTGCAAAGTTGCTAATTAGCTAAAATGCTAAAGTTGTCCATGATGAGATTCGAACAGGAAAAAATTAAAATAAAACTTTTTTGTGTGCATGTCACAAATTTGCAGCGGCTACATGAGGTAAGAAAACTTGTAATGTAACATCTAAATTAGGGTCACCTGGAAACAGACCAACACTTTGGTTCCTATCCTGTCAATAATTCCTCCTTGGCTTATTCATTAATTTGATATGTCAAACAACAATGTATTCAAGGTGCTGCCCACTATATTCCAACTGTAGAATTTGAATAATCATTCTATTTCCACGATTCCAACAGTTCACCAATGCCTACAGTAAAGGGCTAATCGGACGGCTAGATAGCAGACTATTCTATCACAGGCTTTGTGAGGGCATGGGTATGATTCACCTTGGAAACATAGTCTCTGCCAAGCCATAACAACTCACTGCTGCCCTGACACTCTCTCTATCAATAGAGATTAACATTATGTCCAGGAATTTACCAAGACCTCTGACTGTGGATACAAAATGCATACCTCTTGAGGTTTAGTGCTTTCCCCACTGGTGACTGTTCCCATCAATGGACAAGGATCTATTCCCTTCTTACTTTTCACTGTGGCCAGACAGTGATTTTTTTTTGCTCAGGTGATACATTGGGAGTCTATAAACAGAGTAAAGAAAACAGACCCACGCACCCTGATTGACGAGGGAGGGTATCCATGACAACCTGGAGTTTTCCTTCAGAACGGTACTAATGATATCCTATTCTAGTCAACCCCCTGCTGATCTGACTGAATATGAAGTAGCAGCCAGAGACAACCCTGCAGGCGGATTTAGGCTTTAAAAATCAATATATTTCATTAGGAAAACACTCCTATTAACAGAGAAGCTACATTACTCCTCATTATAATCACTGTAAATGTCACAGCATTGAAATGGCTTCAGCGTGACTGATGTAATCCACTGGCCTGGCAGGGCAGGTATGGGTGATGTACTGTTCCCCTATGGGACTGTCCGCCTGTCTATATGCTTAGGCACGTTGCCAGGTCTGCTAACATGTATAGACAGAGGTCATCAGATCTCAATTAGTTGGGTTGCCATGTTGTGCTGCTGTCCTCCCTCCCTCTCTCCATCTAGCGAAAATCAGTTCAGGCCCTGGATTACCCACCAGCTGGTTACCTCTCCTCCTTTCCTCCCTCCCTCCCTCCCTCCCTCCCTCCCTCCACCACTCAATCTATCCTGGCAAGATTCGCTCAGACACCTGGCAACCTGAGGGCGCTTCATCCCTGCACTGAAAAACACACCTCCTCTACCTTTCTCTTCACTCCATCTTTCTCTCCATTTCATTACTGACTGCTCGTTAACGATTAAGATGTGTAGGTAAACTGACAGACCTTCTTGATATCCCCCTACAGTGCTCTTCCTTCAGGCAAAAAACGCATTCATGAGGTCTTGGTTATAGCCCATATGGTGGTCAGACCAGATAAGGGGAAGGGCTGTATCTCAAGTCTAAAACGGACATCCTTTCCTCATCTCCTTCACCTCATATACACTCATTTGAATTGACAGGATAGGTAGTGTGTTGGATCCTTACCTACCAGGAATGTGTTTTTTCGCCAGTCCAGTTCTACCATAATCTCCTCCTGAGTGGCGCAGTGGTCTAAGGCGCTGCATCACAGTGCTAGCTGTGCCACTAGAGATCCTGGTTCGAATCCAGGCTCTGTCGTAGCCGGCCGCGACCGGGAGACCCATGGGGCGGCGCACAATTGGCCCAGCGTCGTCCAGGGTAGGGGAGGGAATGGCCGGCAGGGATGTAGCTCAGTTGATAGAGCATGGCGTTTGCAACGCCAGGGTTGTGGGTTTGATTCCCACGGGGGGCCAGTATAAAAAATAATAATATATGTATTCACTAACTGTAAGTCACTCTGGATAAGAGCGTCTGCTAAATGACTAAAATGTAAATGTAATGTAAAATAATCAGTGCAGATGAAGGGAAGGAGATGAGGAGACATTTTAGATGAACGAGATGCACCCAAGCAAAGTTCTGAGGATTCTAACAAAGACATGGTGAGAGGGAAGATACTAAAGAGCTTCATGTTCCGCGGTGTCCACATCACTAAGGAATTAGCATGGTCCACACACACACACAAACAGTTGTGAAGAAGGCACAACAATGCCTCTTCCCGCTCAGGAGAATGAAAAGATTCGGCATGGGTCCTTAGATCCTCAAAAACGTTCTACAGCTGCACCATTGAGAGCATCTTGACTGGCTGCATCACCGCCTGGTATGGCAACTGCTTGGCATCCGATCGCAAGGCGCAACAGAGGGTAGTGCGTACGGCCCAGTACATCACTGGGAACAAGCTCCCTGCCATCCAGGACCTCCACACCAGGCGGTGTAAGAGCAAGGCCCTACAAATTGTCAAAGACTCCAGCCACCCTAGTCAAAGACTGTTCTCTCTGCTACCGCGCGGCAAGCGGTACCGATGCACCAAGTCTGGAACCAACAGGACCCTGAACAGCTTCTACCCCTAAGCCATAAGGACTGCTAAATAGTTAACCAATAGCTACCCGGACTATCTGCGCTGACCCTTTCTGCACTAACTCTTTTGACTCATCACATACAATGCTGCTATTGATTATCCTCTTGCCTAGTCACTTTATCCCTACCTATATGGAGATATCTACCTCGTACCCTTGCACCGACTAGTACCCTGTGTATATAGCCAGTGTTATCGTTACGCATTGTGGATTTATTCCTCGTGTTTCTATTATTAGTCTTTTTTTCTCTGCATTGTTGGGAACGTTTTCACTGTTAGTCTACACCTGTTGTTAACTCTCATCATTGTTGGGAACGTTTTCACTGTTAGTCTACACCTGTTGTTAACTCTCTCATCATTGTTGGGAACGTTTTCACTGTTAGTCTACACCTGTTGTTAACTCTCTCTCATCATTGTTGGGAACGTTTTCACTGTTAGTCTACACCTGTTGTTAACTCTCTCTCATCATTGTTGGGAACATTTTCACTGTTAGTCTACACCTGTTGTTAACTCTCTCTCATCATTGTTGGGAACGTTTTCACTGTTAGTCTACACCTGTTGTTAACTCTCTCTCATCATTGTTGGGAACGTTTTCACTGTTAGTCTACACCGGTTGTTAACTCTCTCTCATCATTGTTGGGAACGTTTTCACTGTTAGTCTACACCTGTTGTTAACTCTCTCTCATCATTGTTGGGAACGTTTTCACTGTTAGTCTACACCTGTTGTTAACTCTCTCTCATCATTGTTGGGAACGTTTTCACTGTTAGTCTACACCTGTTGTTAACTCTCTCTCATCATTGTTGGGAACGTTTTCACTGTTAGTCTACACCTGTTGTTTACTCTCTCTCATCATTGTTGGGAACGTTTTCACTGTTAGTCTACACCTGTTGTTTACTCTCTCTCATCATTGTTGGGAACATTTTCACTGTTAGTCTACACCTGTTGTTTACTCTCTCTCATCATTGTTGGGAACGTTTTCACTGTTAGTCTACACCTGTTGTTAACTCTCTCTCATCATTGTTGGGAACGTTTTCACTGTTAGTCTACACCGGTTGTTAACTCTCTCTCATCATTGTTGGGAACGTTTTCAC